CCCAGCAGCTCCACGGGCTGCTGCTGAGCGACGCCAGCCTGGCAGCCCGGAGGGACTTCATCTCAGGCTTTACCGCCCTGCACTGGGCCGCCAAGAGCGGCAACTGCGACATGGTGACAGATCTCATCAGAGTGGCTGAAAAGGGGGGAGTCCACGTCAACGTGGATGCCAGGTCACACAGCGGCTACACGGCACTCCACCTAGCTGCCATCCATGGCCAGGAGAAGATCATCACCATGCTGGTCTACAGCTACCATGCCAAGACCGACCTGAGGGACTACAGCGGGAAGAAGCCACACCACTACTTAAAGGAAGGGACCTCTTCTGCAGTCAGGCGTTTGCTGGGGGACCCCAGCCTTTCCCACAACGTGGAGCCCTCCGTGCCCATCAAGAAGTCTACAAAGCTTGCGGCTTCAATCTTGAGCTCCACTAGCACTTTCCTAGGGGTTATATCTGATGACATGGCTTTCTATGATCTCACCAAAGGTTTAAGGAAGCCCTCGTCCTTAAACAAGCTCCTGGCTGCCACAACGGGCCCGAGGAGGAAGCCAAAGACCAGAGGGGGCTTCCCTTCGTATTCCTCCCTCTCCGAGGTGACGGAGGAAGAGGAAGAGGAGGTCGTCGTGAAACGCAGACCTGTTTCTGAGCTGTTCTTTGGCCACTAGACTCTGCCTTCTTGGGATCAAAATTGTTCAATAATGTGACTGGGGCTCTCGATTTTCTCGTGCAGAAGCAGCTTGGATTTCTTCTCTCCATGTCTGTCTTTTTGGAGGTTTAACTAAATCAGTGACAGGATCTGGCTCCAAAGGCCACAGGAGGAGAAGCAGCTCAGACATCTGTGGAAAGGGAGCTGCCCAGGGAGCGTGCGTACCATCATGCCGATGTATTGGTGGAGACCGCAAACTTTATACTTCACAGTTGAAAAACTAAAACAACCTCTGTGTGTATAGACAGGTTAAATCTTTAAGGTACAGCCTTCTTGATCTGTGTTCCTTGGCTGGACAGCAAAAGTAAGGTAAAGAATTGCATATTCTACACTGTGAACAGCAAGCTGGTAGCTGGCTACTTTACCATGGCTTGTTATATAGCAGGCTTAAATTATTAGAGGAAAGATGCATAGTTTTGTATGATGTTTCTGATTATTTTGGTAACAGAAGAGGAATATTTCTATTTAAAAATATTGTGTACTTTTTCAATACAAAGTTTCTCGCTATCAGAAATACTAACATGACAATCTCAATTGTTGCCTAATGCATTTTATTGAGTGAACAGGTTTAAAAAAAATTAAAAAATCAACCCTTAGCACTCAAGTCACCATGACCTGTCTACCTCAGTTTGAAAGCTAGGTTAGCATTTTTAATTTTTTTGTTCTCTTCCTGAAAGACTTTTTGACCAGGTGGTACTAACCACGTGTCTTGATACTGTGAACATTTAAACTTGACTATAGTTCAATCACTTAATCTGAATAAAAACCTTGTTGATATTTGATAGTGAAAAACTGAACTGAAAAACTGGGAATTGGATCCTGCAGAGTTTCTGAGCAGCCAACTGGAAACAAAGTTAGGCTTGTATATTTGATTCTTTTTATTTAAAACTTGGCCTTTGATTTTGAGCTATTTACAATAAATATTTATAAAAATTGGGCTTTATGTTATGTTAGGTGTTTGATGATGGAATGTCTGCATGACCTCTTAAAGCAATGTTTATCTCAACAGCATGAATCATTGACCTAAAACTAACTCTTCTTCTTCTTCTTTTATATTATAAACATAATTGTTCTATATACAGAACTACACGTAGCTCCAAAAAGCATGCTAACTGCAGGTTAAGTAATACATTTGCAGTGAGATTATTATTTTTTTAATTACTATTTGGGTAAAGTTAATGTGAAGAGGCAGAGCTAAGACCAGAAACTGTCTGACTCCTGGGGCCAGTCTGCTAAACCATCACGCATCACGTTTTCTCTAAAAATGTATCTAAAACACCTGTATAATTCAGAGGTGAGGACGGTGATGGCAATACTGCGCTTGCTCTGCTTTTCAGCCCCATCAGGTATTTCAGTTTCTGTGCTGAAACACTGGTTTGCATGCTTTGCCTTTCTTTCCAAGTCAGTGACTTCAGGAATGTTTTTTTTTTCAGCCTTGAATTAAGCCTAGCACTTCTAATTGGCTGTAATTGGCTTCTCCCAAATGCTCGGCAAGGAATGCTGTAGGACTGTGCTGAAGGTGGAGGCACTGCCATCTTTGACTCTAAAATGTTCCCCCTGGAGTTGGTGACTTTTGTTGCGAGCGTAATCGCCGATTGCAGAGGGGTCTGATCCACCTGCTCTCGGAAGAGACTGGATTATTCTGCACCAGTCTGCTTCCGTATTGAACTAATTAAGTTGTTAAGCAAACGTTAATGATCAAGCACCTCATGACTTCTATATCTGGAGTAGGGTTTAAAAAAAAAAAAAATCCTATTTGCTCTATCGCTGTTGGTGTGACCATTGACCAGTGTGGTCATTTGAAACCTTGGTTTGTGCTGCATTGTGTCAGCTTGCAGAGTTCCAGGAAAAAAAAAGTCTGTCACTCTGTTTTTAAAAGTCTTTCCAACTTTATTGACATTAAACATTTTTTTTTTTCCTGCATTTTCTGAAACCACAGAAGCATGCGTGTGTGTTCACGTCATGTCTGAGGTGCTGGCAGGACTGATGTTGCCTGGTAAAAGCATTCCGTCTCTGTGTGAATTGGAAACACTCTCCGGTTTGACCCGGCCTTATTGGGAAGTTTGTTCATTAGTTATGGATATACGCTTGATACCTGTTCAAATTACATAGCTGAATTTTTAGTGCTGATTCTGAGTTAAGCCTACTTGAGTCGGAGGCAAGGTTCAAGGATGGAGTGTTTTCTGTTTAAAAAAAGCCAACCGACCAGCCTGTAAAGCATGGCTATGACTTCACCATACGGAAAGTAGGGAGAAGGTTTGCGTTGCTCCTGTATTGTTGTGTCTAAGGAAGAGTAAGAAGTCACAGCTGAGATAAGACTTCATTGCAACATGTATCATCAAGGAAATCCTGCGCTACTCCTTCCTCGGAGGCATCACGGTGATGAGCTAGTGTGACAGAAAAATGCCCAGCAACAACAACCAAGCCCTTGTCCTTCCACCCTTCCCCCGGGGAGGTGCTCGGAGGCTTGGTGGGAAGGTTGCGACACCAAGGTGGGGAGCTCATGAGGTTGGGTGCTGTGGGTGGGGTGGGCCAGGTTGTGCCAACAAGTTTGTGCAGTGACTCAGCTCATTCCTCCGCCTTGTTGAGCAGATGAAAGAAAAGATAGTATTTAGGCAGGCTGTGATTACTATACCCAGTGCTCTATGACTTCAGGGGCAAAGAAACGCTGAGAGGCACTGTAAATGCACTGCTGTAATCTCACAAAAACACAGACTGCCTCCGGTTTGAAGTAAAACCAGTCCCTTAGCCTTTCTGGGCTTTGCTTTTGTATACTGCCGCTTACGCTGCGGAAGGGATGCTGTAGGACAATCATGGGAGCATTTTCCAGGCAGAGACTAAGGCTGGGACTGTGGTATAAATCCCTCAGCTTGATAGATTCTCCTTAGTTTCACTTTGTCAAGCCCAAATCCAGCTGAACGCAATAGGATTTTCACATGAACCAATGAGAGCCGTGAAGTTTAGCCGGGGTGCTTTCGCAAGTACGCAACCGACAGAGCCGAGAGGACTGCGGCTCCCGTGAGCACCCCGGCCCCGGGCTAGAGGCTGCGCGGCAGCGTGCACCACGGCTGGGCCAGCAGCCGTTGGAACCTCTGGCCCAGCCCAGAGCTGGGAGCTGCCTTCCACACCATCAAAGCTGATTGCAGGAGAGGATAAAAACAAAACCCCCTACCCTCCTGGGCTGCGCTCCTGCCGTGGAGATGGCTTAGTGGTGGGGGACGGCGAGAGGTGGCAAGTGCAGATAAACAGGACTGGGGCTTGGGGTTGCAATTTGCCTTGGTTACTAGCCTGCCTGCTTGCCATGTCTCTGTTTTCCTGCTATAAAATGGAGATAATTGCCTTGGTCGCTTCTTTAAAGCACACAGTACTGATATTCCAAATTGAAATCAAGATAATTTTTTTTAGACCTGTAGGCAGCACGAGCAGCGTCATCCACAACCTGTGAATGCTGCGCATTCAGTGGAGCACCTACGCAAATAAAACTCGCTCGGAGTTTAGTTTAGCAGCATCAGAGATCAGCAAAGCTAATGTTAATCTGACCCTGGCTCAGTCCGTCTTTCTAAAGATAACTCGTTTCATCCATTCCTCAGGACATTTTGTTCTAAGGAATATCAGCTCAAAAACCTGCACTGAAGAGCTTTGCAAACAAGCTTCAAGCCACGTTTGTACAAAGAGACAGACTTTGTCCTCCCGGATGCGGCTGTTTGCGCAGCGTGAGGCAGTGCCGCCGTGGTCAGGCTCAAACAGACTTTTGGCCGTCTCGGTTCCCCTGCGAGTGCCGCGCAGAAACACCTGTTCTACCAGCGCCCCGCGAAACGCTGCTCCTGCGCTGCAAAGGAGGCTTTACGAGATTTCGGCTTCATCGCAAGCCCAAGGTCTGGCGGAAGGGTGGCAGAATAACTCCAACAGCCCAAGGGGAGTTGCACCCACCAGCTGAAGGCAGAGGAGGCCTTTTGCAGCAGTCCCCTAATTCCCCATTGCTCGTCCCTTCTCCTCCCGCTCTGCACGTTTCCACCATGACCTACATTCCTTGGACGCATTTGCTCCTGATTTGCATGTTAATTTGAGTAAAATGGCAACGTGGCAGTTTTAGCTCTTTCCACTGATTTGCACCAATGGGACCCCCCCCAAATTCAGCGGCTGTTAACAGGGACTTGGCCGGCACGTAGCATGGACACGAACAGCACGGTGCTTGTTTGCTGCGGGGGGACAACAGGGACGGGGCAGATCAAAAGCTCTGCATCGTAATGAGGGACATTCATTTCCTATTCCAGTTCCAAGGTTTATTTCACTAATTTATAAGACAAAGCAAAGCATTAATCACATCTAGTCCTTATGCTGGGCTCAGCTTCTGTCACTGACCACAAGCAGTGTCTTAATGCTTGTCTGCAGCCAGGAAAATACCATATAACACCCAGGGACTATTTTTTATCCCCAGGAGGAAGAGCTAGGGGCAAAGAGATGCTTCCTCCTCCCTACTTCCCATCTCGTCTTCCCTCTCTGGTCGTTACAGCTGGAGAAACCCGTAACGAGCTGGCAGAGCCACAGCGTGACGGCTGCTGTGGCAGCCCCAAGTGGTGCGGTGTGCGTTATCAGCTGAACAGCCGTGACCACGTGCACAACCCTGAACCCAACCGTCACCAACCGCTGGTGGTTGAACCACGGTGGCTGGTCACCTACTGCTCCTTTCCGAGTCAACCGCCAGAAAATCCTTTCAGCTCAGTACATTCAGTCTGGGTTTGGGTTTTGGTTTTTTTTTTTAATTATTACTGTGATGAAAAAAAGCTCTGATCTTAAATTAAAACAATAATCTGCCTCTAAGCCCAAGCAAAATAGATCTATACTGTTAACATTAGCACAACTTTAGTATGTCATCTTCCCTTTCTGTGAACAAAAAACTATGGATGCGTGCAACAAAAACAGATGCTGGCAGCGTTCAGCTTTCCCTTCCTAGGTAGG